AGAGAGTCTCCTGGCATGATTAGGCAGAGCGCCTGAACTGGACTCTGCCTTCAAAGGCCATCGGCCTCCCGATTGTCACCTGGGGAACCCAGGTGCAGGCCACGCTCTGTGGAAGTGGCATTGCCCTCGTGGTTGTGGACTTCAAGAAGCAGGATGAGACCCTGCAAAAGGCCCTGCTTCCTCAGTTCCAGGTGGATTAAGAAGGCAATCAGCCCTCCCTTTCTTGAGGACCCTTGCCCCACACGGCTCCTCCCGCCTCACAGGAATCCTGACCCACTCCCCAATTAAAAGGAAGTGGTGGCAGGCTGGGCATTCCCCCAATGCACAAGCCTTCCTGATCTGGTGTGAAAGGGAGAGCATCACAGCCAGGGAGGTGAGGCTCCAAGGCCATGGAAAGTTGGAAGCACTGTGGCTGAAAGAGAAAGAGGACAGGCAGGGATGACTCAGGGAAAAGAGAGCCCTGGATCAGGAAATCCACAGGCTTCCCAGAAAGGAGTCAGCCTCCCCACTGCTCTCCCACAAAGACGAGGGTCCTGGGCAAAGAACTACGAAGAAGCTGAGGGGTCACCCCTCCTGCCTCCTGGGCCTCACAGCAGCCCCCAAGCAGGGAATAACAGAATTGGAAGGACCCAGTCCTAGTCCAACCCCCTACTCAAGTAGGAGACCTTCTACCGTCCCAGACAAATGGCTGCCCAGTCTCTTCTGGGGGGAGGGACATGATAGCAGTCTTCCGATATCTGAGCCGCTGCCACAAAGAAAAGGGGGACCGTCAACCTAGTCTGCAAAGCATCAGAAGGCAAGACAAGAAACAAGGAGAGAAGAGAGAAGGAGAGAAGCAACCTAGAACTAAGGAGAAATTTCCTGACAGTGAGGACAATTAGCCAGTGGAACAGAAGTTGCCTCCAGAAGTTGTGGATGCTCCCATCACTGGAGATTTTTAAGAAGAGACTGGACAGCCACTCCTACGGAATGGCATCAGTTCTCCTGCTTGAGCAGAGGGCTGGACTAGAAGACCTCCAAGGTCCCTCCCAGCTCTGTCCTTCTGTCTTCTATTTTAAAGTCTAAGGGGGAGCCCAAGAGAGGAAGATCTCTTTGGCATTCGTCTGTTGTGAAGGAGAGAGCGTCTCCTTCAGGCTCCCCAAATCCAGAGCCACTGTCTTTCCTCAGTTCTCTCTTTCCACCGGCCAGAGCCCCTTCCCCTGAGGGGCTTCATCTGCCCCCCATTCCTGGCTTCCTAGCAGGGCTCTGCTCTAGGACAGCTGCATCTGACCCCCCCCCTAATCTCCACCCCAGGATCTCAGCTCAGGCACAGAATTCTCTGCATGCTGGACTTGTGTTTCAGGGGGCTTTCCAGGAGGCCCCAAGACCCCTCCTCGGATTGGTCCACCACCAAGCCAAGAGGCCAGGAGACCAATGAATGTACAAAGCTGAGTTGAGTCTTAAGGAGAATTAATAACAAGTGTTTCCGTAGAAAGGAATTACTAGTCAAACATGGGCTCCTGGCCAGGCCCATATCGCATTTCCTTGTGGCGTATTTATCATCTTGACTCAGCACAGAGCAAGAGGGGAGACAGATCAGGTGAAGTGTTAATACCACTTTATAATGCCTTGGTAAGGCCACACTTGGAATCCTGCATTCAGTTTTGGTCGCCACGATGTAAAAAAAGATGTGGAGACTCTAGAAAGAGTGCAGAGAAGAGCCACAAAGAGGATTAGGGAACTGAAGAACGGTTGCAGGAACTGGGTATGTCTAGTTTAATGAAAAGAAGGACCAAGGCTGACATGATAGCAGTGCTCCAATAGCTCAGAGGCTGCCACAAAGAAGAAGGAGTCAAGCTATTCTCCAAAGCGCCTGAGGGCAGGACAAGAAGCAATGGGCAGAAAGTAATCAAGGAGAGAAGCAACCTAGAACTAAGGAGAAATTTCCTGACAGGGAGAACAATTCATCAGTGGAACCACTTGCCTCCAAAAGTTGTGACTTCTCCAACATTGGAAGTTTTTAAGAAGATGTTGGAAAACCCTTTGTCTGAAGTGGTGTAGGGTTTCCTGCCTAGGCAGGGGGTTGGACTAGAAGACCTCCAAGGTCCCTTCCAACTCTGTTATTCTATTCTATTCTAAGTATATACTTGGTCCCCCTGATTGAGTGCAGGATCCAGTGAAGCCCTTTGCACCAAGAACCATCCAGCCTCTCTTGGAAGACCTCTGGGGGTGGGGAGGGACGATCAAGCTCCTTCGCAGCAGGCCCATTCTTGGGGGGCGGAAGACAACTCTGATCTCAGCAGTTTGAGCAGCGGGGAGGGGTTCCTGCCTTCTTCAGCTTGCAACATTCTGGAGTAGCCCTGCTGTCATGGATGGGGAGCTAAGAGCACACCGATTTCTGCAGTCCTCCCCCCCCCCATGCAGGTTCCTTGGGTGCTCCCCCTGAATCTGGGGGTGGGGGGTGGGGGCTGTTGTTCAGCAGTCAGAACAAAAAAAAAACCAGTGGGATGTATTTATTCAAATTAGGACACTGGACACAACATACAGACAGATTTAACCATAATTTCAAGTGGGAAAATGTGACCATCCAGGCCAAGTCCAAAAATGCCAGGGAATTTCTAGAAGCCTGCTGGCATTCTTGACAAATCAGCCATCAACAGACACATAGACGTCAACAACACCTGCAGACTATGCAAAAGAGACAATCGACCAGCCCAAAAGAGAGAAAGTCTCTAACACCACCAATCGGCACCCAGATCAGCAGAGATTAACTCCAAATAGACCAACAATCAAGCAAGCGATTCCCCAATGAAGAAAACTGGCAAAGAGCCATCAGCAAGCAACCCAATCAAAGAATCTCACCACACCAGAATATAAACTGACAGCAAATCCCACTCCTTACTAGCACTGATGATGTTACCTAGTTGGGTCATGAAATGTCTGCAAGAGAACAAGCAAGCTCAGAGAGCCCCAAGGACCCCCTCCGTTCAACCCTGAGCTAGAAATATTCTCCATTATTGGTAGGACACTAGTCCTCAAGATTTCATCTTTCCTTGCTTCCGTTCCAACACCAAGAACTCCAGAAGTCAGCAACCAAGAGGATTAGGGGGTGATTGGAGGCTAAAACATACGAAGAACGGTTGCAGGAACTGGGCACGGCTAGTCTACTGAACAGAAGGACCAGGGGAGACACGATAGCCGTCTTCCAATATTTGAGGAGCTGCCACTTGACAGGAGGCTATTTTCCAAGGCACCCAAAGGCCAGACAAGGAACAATGGATGGAAGCTGAACAAGGAGAGATTCAACCTAGAAATGGGGAGGAACTTTCTGACAGGGAGAACAATCAACCAATGGAACAGAAGTTGCCTTTGGAAGTTGTGGGAGCTTCATAAATATGAATCCATTGCCAAGTGAATTTTTATCACGTGACTATGGACGATCTGCAATGGTCGTAAGTGTGAAAAACGGTCATAAGTCACTTTTTTCAGTGCCGTTGTAACTTTGAACAGTCACTAAATAGATGGTTGTAAGTAGAGGGCTACCTCTAGTATAAAAAAATACATTTTCCTTTCTTCAGACACCCCCCTCACTTGCCTCACAGGGGCCCCCCAATCAGCTGCTTCAGATTTCTGCCTCTCCACCCCAAAAGGTCTCAAGAGCTCTGCCTCTCCATTGTTCAGGCAGCCCCCAAAGACCCCCGCAGAAAGTTTGGCCTCAGCGCCGCGCCCCACATTTCTCTTCCAGCCCGTCCTCGCCGCGAAGCTCCGGGGCTCCCCGTCCTTGATCCAGGCGGGCGGACCACAAAGCCCATCTGGCCGGTGGGAGCTGCGGGACCCGAATGGCTCTCGGGGCACCTGGGGCTGGGCGCGGAGCAACCGCAGGAGCCCAGCGCTGCCCTCCGGCGGAGCTGCCCCTTGGGGGCTCTATGCCAATCCACCCCACTCCCCCCGGGTCAACTCGCCGCGGGACCAGAGGGAGAAATGAAGGGCGGCATCGAATCATGGAAGAGAGGCTGCAAAAGGAGGCACAGAACGAAACCGGGAGGGCAAAAGTGAAAAGAGCGCTTATTTCTTTGAAGGCATTCAATAGGACGGTGCAGTTGCCCCGCAGCGAGCTGTCCGGGGCGAGTTGGGCGCCGCCAGTTGTCCGATGGGCGCCTTGGGAGGCCGGCCCCTCCCGCCCCTCCCCCGGCGCCTCCCTCCGGGCCGGCGGCCGAGCGCTTCTTAAGGCGCCGCCGAGCCCCGGACGGCCGCAGCCTCCGATCCGGCGCCCCGCTCTCCTCCGCTCGGGCAGCCAACTCTCGCCTTCTGCCCTCGGGAGGCTCCGGAGCCGGGAAGGGGAGAGGAGCGGAGCTTCCCCGGCTCGCCCCTCGCCCTGAAGGGCCGGCCGCGCTTCCTTAGTTCAGGTGATCCACTTGGAGAGCTTTTCTTTAACGGATTCCAGCAAAAGGGAGCCCGCGCCCTGGGCAGATCCACGGGGCACCTCCTGGGAAGCTTCCCCGGGTGCTTCAACTGTTTTATTCTCGTCCGGATCAGCCACTGGGGCTTCCTCGCTATTTGTCTCTCATCTTTATTAACTACCTATGATCGATCTATCTATCTATCTATCTATCTATCTATCTATCTAGCTATCTATCTATCTATCTATCTATCTATCTATCATCTTCAGTACAGTATCTATTCTCTCCCGCCCCTCCCCTTCCCCCCTCTCTCTGAATGTCCCCTTCGTTCTGCTAACTCGTCCATTGGTTTTCCTTGTCCTGGCCCAATTCTGGAATGCCTCCCCTCTCTGTGGGGGGCTACGGAGGCTCCCTCCTCCCTGCCCCCAAATCAGCTCCTTTTAGAAGTTTTTACCATTCGGAAGGGAACCCCCCCCCCCCCCCCCCTTTCTCCCTCTGCCTTAAGAGAGGAGGAGAAGGACCGTCTGGCTGCTCTGAGCTGGGCTGAATTCTGACATCCCCCCCCCTCCTTCTGCTGCTTTCTCCCTCCAGGCGAGGCTGCCTTCTCCAGGCAGGTGCAGGATGGATGCCGCCGCAGGTGAGCTGGCCGCCTTCCAGAAGGAGCCGCGGGCCTTCAGCCTCTGGGACTACGGCGTCTTTGGGCTGATGCTGCTGATCTCCACGGGCATTGGGCTCTTCTACGGCCTGTCCAGGGGCGGCCAGAAGACCCCCGAGGACTTCTTCACGGGCAGCCGGGCCATGTCGGCCCTGCCAGTGGGCCTGTCGCTCTCAGCCAGCTTCATGTCGGCCATCCAGGTGCTGGGCGTCCCGGCCGAGGCCTACCGCTACGGCATGAAGTTCCTCTGGATGTGCCTGGGCCAGCTGCTCAACTCACTACTCACCGCCAGCCTCTTCCTGCCCGTCTTCTACCGCCTGGGGCTCACCAGCACCTACGAGGTATGCCCCCCCTCCAGACCCCCTCCCTTGGGGACCTCTTGCCCTGGGGAAAAGCTCTGCCTGGTTTCCTTCAAAGAGCAGGGAATGGTTGGTGGGGGGGAGAGGGCTTATGTTTCAAATGAGTCCCATCTCTGAATATCTATTTATTTTCCACCTCTGTTGCCATCACACGACTCTGGGGTGCTTACAATCTGATAAAACGATATTGCAAAAAAGATGAAAACAGTAAAATATTAAAATTAACAAATAAGTAGCTAAGATAATGTGTGTCTGTGTGGGGATATACTATAGTGTGAAGGTGGGATCTTTGGTTTTACTAACCTTCTCCAGAATGACAGCCCCGTCTCCAGTTCGGACCCCCGGCCAGTTTCTCTTAGTCTTGTGGAGGGAGATCTTTCTGAAGTCAGCTGGATGCTGACCCCCATATCCTCCCCCTTCCCTTTGGACTTAAGCCTCCCTTTCTTTGGGGTGACCCCTTCCTTCTGGGTCCTGGTACCCCAGACACCCCTTTCTCTTCTCCTTCTCAGTCTGCTTCCCTTCCCCCTCCTCTCCTCCTGGGCAGAGGGACCCAGCCAGGCTGCCTCTGGGTGGGGTCCCCTTCAGCCCTTCCTTAGGGCCCCTCCCTCGGTCCCCAGGCTGTCCAAGTCCCTTCCAAGGGAACCTAAACTGAGAGAAGCTTCTAGCATCACCGATTTATTCAGCTGATGCTTAATCTTCTCGTCTTTCTAGAGAGCCTACAGTAAAGATGACAAGGTGCCAATCCACAGACACACTCGCTCACCAAAGCCTCAGAGCCAGGAAATCCTCTGAATAAAGAGGGCAGCTCTGGCTGCCATCAAGGCCGGCTGGCATCTGACCCCAGAAGAAGGGGCTGGTGCTGCAGAGAATGCTGGGGTGCCCCTCCCCAGGGTCTCCACCCAGAGCATCCTGGGGGGAGGGTGATTGGGGGAACTTTTGTGGAAGGGGGAAGGTCTTTTGGCCCTGGCTCACCTGGGAGGAAGAAAATCACCATCAGAACCTGATTCGATTTGGGGCTGGTTTGTCAGGAAAGCAACCCACGGAGGGCCTCCTCAGGAACTGGGCCAGTCCGCTGGACTCCATAGAGAGCAGCTGCCGAGGGCACCAGGCTTCCTGGAGAAAGGGAGGATGGTGGGCTAGGAGGTGCTGGGGGTGGGTGGGGTGGAATCAAGGCCCTGGAATGGCCTCCCTGCCCAGCCAGGCGGCTCCCTCCCTCCCTCCCTGCTGGGGTTCAGGAAAATGCTGAACGGGGTTATTTCTCCCGGCTTCTTCCTTCTCCCCTTTCTTATGGTGTTGCTCCTGCTTGTTGGTTTTGCTGTTTTCCTCAGGTTGTGTGTGTGATGTTATTGTTTATTGCCAATCACACAGTGGATTTTTTGTATTGTTTGTCAGACGGTTTAAGAAATAAATTAATAGCAAGGCACGAAATCCATCCAGCCAACCCTTTTATCCCAGGAAAGCTCTGGCAAGTCAGAGGCCTCAGCAGAAGAGCTCTGGGACCAGGGAGGGGGCCTCGGAGGAGGGAAGGTCCTCTGCTGGGAGGGGGAATCTGCTCCAGAGGAGGGGGGGGTTCCTGCCATCTTCAGCCACGGGGCTCTGAGAGCGACTGCCCAGAGTAACAGCAGCTCTCTCAGTTGGGCCTGTTAGCAGAGCAGAACAGAACCCCCAAGCCCCCCATAGATGCAGGGGGGGGCTTCCCCTACCAGGAGCTGTGCACGGTGCCAGCTGTGCAGTTACCTGCAAAGGATCAAATGCAGCCTTTGTGGGAAGGCAACGGGGTCCCCCCTTGGACCCCATCTCTCCTACAGCCTACAGCCAAGGCCCTAATTTCCCCCTCGTGGCCAGGGGACCTCCAGGCCGTGGGGAGGGGAGGGGCGGAGGGGCAGGAGAAATGGGGGAGGCGGGAGGGGCAGCTGTTCTTCGCAGGTGTTTGCTGGGCTTGTGCTGATCTCTGCAGCAAAGGTGCCACTTGGAGGTTAACCGCTCTGACGAATTGTCCCATTGGGCCAGATCTCCTTCCCGACTTTCCCAGGAAGATCCCAAGGGCCCCCAGGGGGTTTTCTGAAGAAACAGCGTCAGAGGAAATTGCACTGATCCCAAATGGGCAAATATGGGTGAAGCCAAAGTCACACATTCCTAAACGCAGCTTCTATTCAGAGGGCCATATTTCATACCCAAGTGTACACAAGTGTCATTCACAATCACAACTCTCGAAGCGGGGGAACAGAGGAAGGGCAGGGAGGTGGAGCTGGCTTATTTATCTTTATTTTCTTTCTTTCTTTCTTTCTATCCCACCTTTATTATTTTGACCAAATAACTCAAGTCAGTAAATACATCCAACCCGCCTTCCTCCTCCTGTTTTCCTCACAGTAACAGCCCTGAGAGAGCAGGCCTGGCCCAAGGCCCCCCCCCCCCCGGCTTTCACACCTACGGCAGGACTAGAATTCCCTGTCTCCTGGTGATTGGCCCAAGTCACCCAGCCAAGATGGGACTAGAACTCACAATTTTCTGATGATTGGCCCACCCAGCTGGCTTTTGTGCCCAAGATGGGGCTAGAACTCCCCGTCTCCTGGTTTCTAGCCAGTAGATCCAACTGGCTGGACTGTGTCCCGTTTTCAGCTGGGGCAGGAGGTGACCTCTGGGGTTCTCTGCCTCTGACAAGGGCATCCCTAGCTGAGCAGGCTTAACTCAGGGTGGCACCAAAAGCCCCGCCCACCTTGCAGGATCTCTGCGCCAGGGAGCCTCTCCCCATGGGGGCCCTCGGAGGCATCGCCTTTGCTGGTGCTGCCAGCTGAATACCGGATGATGGAGAGTCACGGCTGGCATATTGGGGGCTGCAGGAAGCTCCCCTCAGGGTGGGTGGCCCAGGATGGAGGGGAGGAAGGGCTGGAGTAGATCCAAGCTTTTTTAAAACTTTTATTTATTTGTAAACTTTACTCGCTGCCATCTTACTTCATGGTAACCCTGGGCTGCCTACGCTACTCTCTTCTCCCTCAAAGTTGCATATTTTGTCTTCGTGCTGACAAAGCAAGAAGTGGAAATTGTTTTCGGAAACTTGAAAGATCAACACTAGAATAAATATTGAGCTGGGGAGCAGGAAATGCCTCCCCTCCCTAGAAGCCTGGTGGGATCAGGGAGAACCGGGGCTCTTGGCAGGGCCGGCCTGCGTCAGGAGGGATTGTGTGTAGCGGCTGGGCTGGTAAACAGCCCCCCCTTCTTAAGTCCTGGGGGTCAGAGTTCATCATGGGGGAGCTCGGAGGACCCTGGCCTGGGGAGGGGGCTCCTGCCCACCCCCCAACGACTGCCTGCCTTTCACCCACTGGGGCTTCCCCTCCGGGGCTGAGCCGCTGAGAGATAACCCTGGAAGAGCCGAGATGTTTTCCCAGCTTATCTTCCCTCGGAGAGCAAATGGACTCTTGGCATTGAAGGCAGCGTCAGGCCGGCTGCAGACAGACAGCTGCCCTGGCTGGAGCCTTTGTGGGCCTGCGACTGCAGGTCTGGAGCAAGGCAACACGACGCAAAGCACACGACCTGCTTTTCTTTGTCCGGGAAGCTGGGTGGCCTGGCAGCTTTCCTGTAGGAGGCCTGGGCATCTCCCGCCTGCTCAGCATTTGTGGCCCCTGGCATCGGCCCTTCAGCCAAGGCCCAGCTGGGCTGGAAGCCAGAGAGGGTGGGGAGAGGGATTCTTCTGGCCCCACTCCCCTAACCATCCCTAACCCCACAACCCTTCATCGGCTCGTTTGCCTTTGCTGCTTCCTCTCTCAGCCCCAGGGTGCGGAGGCTGTTTGAGCCAAACACCAGAAAAAGGTTTGGTGCCTTCACTCCACCCCCCACCTCCGGGGTCATCCAGCCCCTTTGTGGCGCTGCTACTTCTCCCAGTGCTTGGGCAGCTCCCCAGAGGTTGGGAGACTCCCTCCTAATTCCAGCCCCAAAGATTTCGGACCAGGAGCTGCGGAGACCGCCAGGAGGCGGCCTGTGGGCCCAGCTGCCCAGGCGTCCTGGGGGCGAGAGGTGGACAAAGGGCTGTGCTCTGCCCCAGCTACGGACCCCAAAGAACGCAGCACACACAAAGTCCGCACAAACCTTAGTTTACTAATTAAGGACTACTAATGAGTTTTTTTAGTAGTTGTTCGAACACAAGCACAGTTTAAATCAGTCTTTTCTGAACAAATAATAACAAAATTCTGAAGCATAATATTTCCGATAACCGCAATCTTACTGTGGTTGGCAGAATGCCCAGAAGCAATTTGCGGGAAAACTGACAAGAAAGGAGCAAGAGCCGATCAGACGTTTCTAGAGTCAAGATGCAAAGGAATATGAACGAAGTTGTTTCCTGCAAATTGCCTCAGTCGTCATCCTTCCTTAAATAGGCTAGGGGAGTGGCCAATTAGCCCCAAGCCTTACTCTTGAGGAGACCTCCTCCTGAGGGGCCACTCCTGCCTTTTGGCAGCTCCTCCTCTTCTTCCTCTTCACTTATGGGAGCTTCTGGAGGTTCTGAAGGCCCTGGCTGAATCCCCGCCTCTGGCACCACATCTTCTCCAGCCTCCTCATTGTCTGACTCGAGTGCCAGCTGCACAGGCTGCTGGCGCATCACCACACCAGCCTCCTCGCTGTCGGAATCAGCTACTAGCTGCACAGGCCGCTGACGGACCAGAACAGGCTGGGTGGGGAGGGGGCGGGAAACTGATCTGAAGAAGGCCTTGGAGTGCTCCCCAAGACAGCAACTGAGAAAGGGTTCCGTCTTGCACCCCCTGAGCAGCAAAGCCTCTCTCCCTCCGGCTGTGGCTGGCCTCCAACTCCCATGGTGCACAAACAGATGGAACGAGGATGATGGGAGCGGAGACCCAGCTCGGGTACTGGGGGTGGGGGGAATATTTGCCATTCGGTTTAACAGGTTTTCCTCCTCCTGCCTGCATTTTTCCTCTTCCATTCAGAAGTGCTCCAGACACCTAAATGAAGGCAGGAAGGATTTTGGCTGCTGTAGTCCCCCATTTCTTCAGGCTGCAGAGCGGGGTGGGGGGGGTGGGGGGCTTGAGCCAGGAAGACTTGGCCTTGTCTGGGGTCACTTCTTTCCCAAAAGTGACTGGAGGCGGGGAAGACGCTTCCTCAAGGTGGTGGCAGGGATACAAAAGTCCCCCAGAGCTCTCCCATCTCTCCCCCACCACACGTTCAGGGTGGGGCAAGGTGCCCAGAGGGCTCTCAGCTGGGTGCTGGGCCCTGTCTCCAGCAACTTCTCTGCCCACTGGAGCAGCACTGAGGGGCTTTCCAGGGACAGAGGCTGGGGGGGGAGCTGCAAGGGGGGGGGGAGAGAGAGAGCAACCCTGGAGACAGACCAGCCCGCCCGCCCCCCCCCCCCATCAGAGCCTCTGAAGATTTCTGCCCAAATGGTTGTTGCTTGCCAGCAGTCTCCCCCCACCCCCAAGCCCATGGGCTTCTCCCTGGCTGGGGTCTGGCTGCCCTTTGGAGGCATGGCAGAGAGAGCATCCCCAAAGCCACCTGGAGAGGGGGGCATCTCTAAAAGAGGAAAGCCCCCCCCTCTAATTGCAGATTCGAGCAGGTCCCGGTTTCCTGGCTCCTCTCCTGGGCTTTAAACATGAGCCCTCCCCCTTGGATGGGATGAAGCAGAACCGCAGGCCCCTTGTGGGGTGGGGTGGGGAGACCTGGTTGAGGAAACAGCTGAAGCCGTTTGTCTTCAGTGACTGAGGCTGGGGGTTGAGGCTGGGGGAGGGGGCTCGTCTGCAACCACCTTTGAGCCTCTGGGGTCAGCAGGGCAGGAGGTCTGCAGGGTCTGATTGAGGCTTATCAAGGAACAAACACCCAGAGGCAGAGATTATGGGGAGGGTGATTCGGGGGGGGGCAACAGGTAGCCTGTCAGGGGTGTGCAACCACCTGCCTGCTTTGCTTTGGTAGCTCCCCCCACCCCCACTGCAGGGTCCCGCTTGTCCGGGAAAGGGCCGCATTGGAGGAGGGGGGCTCGGCCGTGTCCGGTGGCCCCAGCAGTTCCCCGGAGGGCAGCGGGTCGGGGCGTCCCTGCGGCAGGTGGGCTTTTGGAAGCGCAAAGCCCCCGGGGAGCCCGCGCGGGAGGCAGCGTGGCGCTGGGCGGGACGGCGCCGGTGCTGGGAGCGAGCCCGCCGGGGAGGCCTTGGGAAGTGCCGGACGCGGCGTTTTTTTTTTGTTTTTTTTTTTAATTTGATTTATATGCCGCCCTTCTCCGGAGACTCAGGGCGGCTTACAGTGCATTCAGCAATAGCCTTCATCCTTTTGTATATTTATACAAAGTCAGCTTATTGCCCCCACAAACTGGGTCCTCATTTAACCTACCTTAGAAAGGATGGAAGGCTGAGTCAACCTTGAGCCTTGGAGAGATTCGAACCAGCAGTAAATTGCAGGCAGCTGTGTTAATAACAGGGTGCTTTAAACCACTGTAGTACCAAGGCTCTTTGGGGGGGGTCCAGCTGTGCAGTTGGGGCGGCCCGTCCTTCTCCGCAGCGCCGGAGCCACGCGCGCCCTGCCAGCTCTGCGCCCCAGGCGGAGCAGGTGGGCGGCGGGAGGCGTGGGACGAGGCGGGCTGTTCCGCCCTCAGCGACTCGGCTCGGGAGGGGAATTTCCCCCAAATACGGCGGGGGGGGCGAGCGGAAGGGTTCGGCCCCCGCTTTGCCCCCATCCGGGTCACGGTTGTCCCAAAGGGGCTTTTTCAAGAGGCAGCTGAACGGAAGAAGCTTCTTAGATGAGAAGCGAAACGTCTTCAAGGGAACACCAAGAAGGTCCACTTGCCTCTTGAAAAAGCCCCTTTGGGTGAGTCGGGCGTCCCGTCACTGGCAAAGGGAGAAGGAGGCACGGGGATTCCAGCGCCTGTCTGCCCTGGGGTGGGGTGGGGTGGGGTGGGGGGGTTCCGACTTTCCAGAAGGCCAGGCCCCTTTTTTGCACGGGCAGGTATTCTGGGGGTGGAGGCGAGGCTGGTGGCGGTCTTAACTTTTATCCCAGCTACTTGGGATCCAGAAACTCCTGGCTACATGGGCAGCCCAAATTCTTTGAGTAACGTTTGACCAGGATGCACACGCCTGCCTGTGCCTGCATGCACTCACTCTCTCTCTCTCACATACACACACACACACACCCCTTCCTAGAAGGTTTGGCCTTTGTGGAGACTTCAGCTGCAGCTCTTCCTTCTCCCTCTTGCCTTGGCAGTACCTGGAGCTGCGGTTCTCCAAGAAGGTTCGGCTGTGTGGCACAGTCCAGTACATCATTGCCACGGTAAGTGCTGAGGATTGTGGCAGGCTTGCGGTGGGCATTCTCCTCTCCCACTCCCCAAAAAATCCCTCCCTGCCCTTGAGAGGGTGGTCCTACCTTAAAGAGGCGAGGATCAGGTTGGCTGAAATTGGAAGAGAAGAAAGTGCCTCTCACCCACAAGGACCATCGGTGGCTCCCCTTGGGGCTCCCCCACCCCCCCCAATAAAGTGAGATTCGGGACCTCGAGGTCCTTAGGAACAGAAGAACGGCAGGCCAAGAGCCTTGCCTAGCTTGGACTCACAACTCTGCTGCCCTTGTAGACAAGCCACAAAGTGCGTTTATGCATTTGTTGTGGGGGTGTGGGTGGACCACCTCCCCCCCCCCCCATCCGTTCCTTCTGCAGCTTTGCAGGTTTTAAAAGCCTCTTCGCTCCCTGCAGGTGCTGTACACGGGAATCGTCATCTACGCCCCTGCCTTGATCCTCAACCAAGGTACGTCCCACCTGCCCTCCTGCTCCCCCCTCGGGACCGGGGTTGGATTCCCATAGAGCCCCCTCCCCCATCCCTCAGCTGAAGACCCAGGGACCGGCCTGGGCCAGGGACAGGCTCCCCACGTGCTGAGGGGTGTGACACGCGTGTGCGTGCTGGTGCAAGGCCCTGGTTCTCCTGCTTCCCCCTGCAATTAAGCAGCTGTGCGAAGGCAGTTCCTGAGTCCTGGAGGGGCATCGAGGGACCCTCAACTCCATTGGATCCGATCTGCTTTGGATTTCCAGACCAAACCCTGGGACTCAGCCGAAATGATTCGGAAAATGGCTTTGATCCAGGGAAAGGCCTCCGATCGATCGTCTTCAGTGACTTGATCCAGAGATTGAAATGGATCAGGTTTCCGTGTCAGATGCCTTGGCGGTGACCTCATGCTCAGCCCTCAGCAAGACGGCCGACAGTGCCAGCCGTGCCCCCTGCCCTTGTAGGGGAAGCTGTGCCCACCCACACCTCTCCTTTCTCTGCCCCTCTGCTCCAGACGAAGCCAGCGGGCTCCCTGGGCAAAAGGGAAAATCTCTGAATAAGGATTTTATTTCTCTTTCTCTTTTTTCTCAGTGACGGGTCTGGATATTTGGGCCTCACTTCTCTCCACTGGCACCATTTGCACTTTTTACACCACCATAGTGAGTCAAAGGGGGGTCTGCCTCTGGCCTTGCACACCCCCTCCCCCGATCCCCCCCAAGAGGCTTCGGGGTGTGTGTGTTTCTGGGCCGCTGCGCTCCCTCCCTCACCTTCCCCTCTCCCCCAAAGCCCAGAGGGCTCTCCAGGGAAGCTGGTTGAGCTGGGCCCCCCCTCTTTTCCAGGGGGGCATGAAAGCGGTCATCTGGACGGACGTCTTCCAGGTCTTCGTCATGCTGTCCGGCTTTGTGGCCATCTTGGTCCAGGGGACGCTGCTGGTCGGGGGGCCGGGCCGGGTCCTCTCCATTGCCTACAACCACTCCAGGATCAACTTCGGAGAGTAGGTGGAGCTGCCGCACTTGGGAATTGGGGTGGATGTCTGCCTGCAGCCGGCTCCCCTGGCCCCCCTTTCTGTTCCTCCGCCTGGGAGGGAGGGGGCTTGGGAGTGGGGGACGCCTCTGCCATAATGGCAGCTGGGCAAGTGGGGTCAGCTCGGTTGGAAATGAGGGAAAAGCGGACCCCAAATGCTGAATGGGGCCATTTTCACTGGAGTCACTTAGGTGAGGTGGAGAAATGAATGAAATGATGAATGAATAAATGAGTAAACGACTCAGTGTGAATGAATGAATGAATGCAAGATTATTGTCTTGTTTCTGCCTGAATCTCCCAAAGTTGAGGAGATCGGAGGGTTACATTTCAAGGTGGATCCATTAGATTTGCTTTTTCAACTGGGGGGGGGGGGGGGGGGAGGGAGGGAACCATTCCTATTTCCAAAACAGAAGTCAGACAAATAAGTTTGAGTTCCTTTTTAAGAAATGTCAGGCTGCAGCCCCTTCCCCCAGGAGCCCCCATTTCCCTTTGTATGTGTGTGTCTGTGTGTCCAGAACTTCATGAGGTCTAGCCACATGTCGCTTGGTAGATACCCCTGGAGATGCACCTTCCTTCTGATACCCCCTCCCTCTCTCTCTCTCTCTGGGCCCCCTCCAGCTTCAACCTGGACCCCCGCAGCCGGTACACGTTCTGGACCTTCCTCTTCGGAGGGACGCTGGTCTGGCTCTCTATGTACGGGGTCAACCAGGCCCAAGTCCAACGTTACGTGGCCTGCAAGACGGAGAAGGAGGCCAAACTGTGAGTTGCCCCAAGGAGCTTCCCTTTTGCCCCACGTCCCGGGAATCCCTTGGGTCAAAGGCCGGGGAAACTGGGGGGGGGGGCTGAGGGGCCCAGGGGATCTTTTGAGGGTCTCCACCCACCTGGGGCTGCTCCGGAAGCAGTGTGGACAATGGCAAAGCCAAGCATGGTGCCCCTCCCCCCCGCCTTGCTTTGGCCCACTGGAATGGGGCCAGAGGCTGTGCCAGGGCCAGGGTGGCTTGGCTGGAGGCCACGTCTGCCCAGGGAGGGTGTGACTGCGGCCCTCCTTATCTCCTCCCGCTGCCAATCTTTTCTTCTACTGCTGCGGGTATCAGCAGAGGGTGGCTGGCCCCACCCAGGGCCCCCCTCCCTCCTCCGCCTGAGTGTACAAACACAGGCAGGTGGCCGTGCCCTCCTTGCAAGACCCCTCAGCCACCCCGTCAGTCACAGGGCTATCGGCCTCTGCCCACAAAGCCATGTTTTCCTTCCAGGCCAGGCTCTCTGGGCCGTGGGTCACCAGGCAGGAGGGAGGGGAAGGGCTCTTCAAAGGGCCTCTCTCCCCAGCTGCCCTCCCCGCCCCAGCCTGACCGGACCCTCTGGCCGTGTTCTGGACAACTGCAGAATTTTATTTTTATTTATTTTATTCATTTATGCTGCCCGTCTTGTATCTGACGACCCTTGTAATTGTAGACCTCCTGGCTCTGAAGCAGCTGGCCAGAGGGGTGGGATCCAGGCAGGCTCTCGTGGGTCCTGTTTGGGCAGGTGGGCAGGCGCTGCTGCTGGGGAGGGGGCAGCCCAGAACCTGCCACACCTGGGCTGATGGGAGCAGCATCTGTAGGATTGAGGCAGGGGGCACATCCTATGGCTGGGTCACGGTGGGCAGGGGGCGTGTGATGCCCCCCCCGTCTTCTGGTTTCCTGGGACTGGGCGAGGACTGTGCCCAGCGGGCCCTTCCCATGCCAGGGCAGACACTCTGGCCCCTGCTCTCCCCCCCCCCGGTGTTACCGAAGGCGCTTGGAAAGCACTGTGTCAGGTTTCGATGCTATCTCCCTCCCTCCCTCCCTCCCTCCCTCTGGCCAACTCTGCCCACTGAACGAGGGCAGCGTCTCTCCCACTTGGGCCTAATCTCTCTTCTTGCCCCCCTCCCCCCAGGGCCCTCCTGGTCAATCAAGTGGGGCTCTTCGTCATTGTCTCCTGCGCAGTGGGCTGTGGCATTGTGATGTTTGCGCTCTACAAGGACTGCGACCCCCTCTTGGCCGGATACATCTCGGCGCCTGACCAGGTACGGCCCCTTCGCTGGGGTGGGGGTGGGGGTGGGGGCAGCAGAGCATGGCAGAGAAGCGTGGTAGGGTCGTGTTGGGCAGGCTGAGGAAAGGCGAGGAGAGTTACGTGAGCCCCCAAAGGGCAGAGCAGGGCTGCCAAGCACGTGGGGGGCATCTGGGCAGGTTTCTTTCTTCTGGGGGCGAGGGGGAGGCCTTGAGGGAGGAGCTTGGGGGCCTCCAGAGCAAGCGGATGCCGAGGCCGCTCATTTCCCTATGTGGGGGGACTTGGCTTCCTCCCCAAACGAAACAAAGGCAGACCCAGTTGGGACTTAGACACGAGACCACAAGTGATGCCAGCGCTGAAGGCCAGGCAGGGAGGGCGACCTCTTCCCCCGGCTGCCAACCCCTGCATCCCCCGGCCATTCACAGACCCCACCAGATGCCCCTTCCTCCTCCTCCTCCTGCTGCTCCTGTGCAGAGACCCCTTCCCGAGACCTCCTCCCTGTCTCCTCTGCCCCAGAATTGCACCCCGAAGCCAGGATGAATCCAGGGCAGGGCAGGGCAGCCAGGAATTCAGCTGGTCTCTCATTCGGCTGGCACTTCCTCCCTTCTGTGCCCTGCGGCCGAGGGGGGCTTTGCCCTTCTCCCACTCACGGCTGCTTCTCCTCCTCCTCCATCCCAGTACATGCCCTACCTGGTCCTGGACATCTTCGAGAGCTGCCCGGGGGTGCCCGGCCTCTTCCTGGCCTGTGCTTACAGTGGCACTTTGAGGTCAGTCTCTGGTGTGGAGGGAAGAGGCTTTGCCAGGCCACAGGCTGCCCACCGCCACTGATGCCCTCTTGCCCTCCTCTCCCGCAGCACGGCCTCCACCAGCATCAACGCCATGGCAGCCGTCACCGTGGAGGACCTGATCAAGCCCAACATGCCCGCCCTGTCGCCACGGAAACTCGCCCTGGTCTCCAAGGGGCTCTGTGAGTGGCAGTGGGGCCCCATGGAAAGGGGGAGCCCCACCCTTTCCTTTCTCTGGGAGGAAACCCAGGGGAGGGAGGGGTGCAAGCGTCAAGACCCAGGGAATTGAAAGACACCCCCTCCAGATTCTGGGGAGGGGGCCGGGGAGCTCATCTGGAAGCACCCTAATTTGGGGATGGAGCCAAGCACAGAATAATAGAGTTGGAAGGGTCCTTAGAGGTCTTCTAGTCCAACCCCTTGCGTAAACAGGAGAACCTATACCATTCTATATGAGTGGCTGTCCAGTCTCTTCTTAAAAGCTTCCAGTGTTGGAGCATCCATGACTTCTGGTGGCAAGCTGTTCCACTGGTTAATTATTCTCACTGTTAGGAAATTTCTCCTTAATTCTAGGTTGCTTCTCTCCTTGATAAGCTTCCATCTGTTGTTTCTTGTTCTGCCTTCTGGTGCTTTGGAGAATAACTCAATCCCCTCCTCTCTATGGCAGCCCCTCAGATACGGGAAGATGCTCTCATGTCTCCCCTAGTCCTTCTTTTCAGTAGACGAAAAGGTAAAGGCAAAGGCTCCCCTCGCACATATGTGCTAGCCGTTCCCGACTCTAGGGGGCGGTGCTCCTCTCCATTTCAAAGCCGAAGAGCCAGCGCTGTCCCAAGACGTCTCCGTGGTCATGTGGCCGGCGTGACTCAACGCCAAAGGCTCACGGAACGCTCTTACCTTCCCACCAAAGGAGGTCCCTGTTTTTCTACTTGCATTTTTTACCTGCTTTCAAACTGCCAGGTTGGCAGAAGCTTGGACAAGTCACGGGAGCTCACCCCATTATGCCTCACTAGGGATTCAAACCGCTGAACTGCCAACCTTTCGATCAACAAGCTCAGCGTCTTAGCCACTGAGCCACCATGTCCCTTTTTCATTAGACTAGTCATACCCTATTCCTGCAACCATTCATCCTATGTTTTAGCCTCCAGTCCCCCAATAATCTTTGTTGCTCTTCTCTGCACTCTTTCCAGAGACTCAACATCTTTTTTGTATCGTGGGGACCCAAACGGGATGCAGACTTCCAAGTGGGCTCTCACCAAGGCCTTCCAGAGAGGCATTGGCACCTCGTGTCGTATCTTGATTCTCTCCCGTGCCAGGGAAGGAGAGCGGGTGGCACCTTTTGCCTGCAGACAAGAGGTTGTCAGAGGGGAGATAAGATAACAGCCTCCGTGTATGAAGGCAGGGCCAGGGCAGTGGGTCAAAAGCAGAGGTTCCCGGGCGTGGGAGCTGGCAGCCAGGGGAGCCGCCTGCCACATGAAGTAGAGAGTTCTCCTTCCCTGGAGGTCTTTAAACAGAAGCAGGGGTGGGGTCAGAGATGCTCTCCTGGGTCCCGCATTAAACAAAGGGGTGACTAGATGACATCTAAGGTGCCTCCCCACTCTGAGATTTGAAAATCTCCAGTGTTTCTGGCTCTTGGGAAGCTCAGAGACCCACAAACTACCAAGAGCCTTGGTAGTACAGTGGTCTAAGGCACCCTGTTATTAAGCTGGTTATTAAGACCAGCTGCCTGCAATTACTGCAGGTTCGAATCTCTCCAAGGCTCAAGGTCGACTCAGCCTTCCATCCTTTCTAAGGTAGGTAAAATGAGGACCCAGATTGTGGGGGCAATAAGCTGACTTTGTATAAATATACAAAAGAATGAAGGCTATTGCTGAGCACATTATAAGCCGCCCTGAGTCTCCAGAGAAGGGTGGCATATAAATCAAATTTAAAAAAAAAAAAAAAACGGCCTGGGAGTGGACTTGTTCCGAAACAGGCCATCATACACACAACCCCCCCCACGCACACTCAGTTTTCCTTTGCTTTCAGTTAAAGTGTGTGTGTGTCTGTGTGTCTGCTGTTTCCTTCTAGCGTTAATTTACGGCACTGCCTGCATCACCGTGGCGGCTCTTTCGTCCTTGCTTGGAGGTGGTGTGCTGCAGGTACGCAACTCCAGAAAGTCAGTCTCCCCCCCTCCCCCCGGTGCCCATGATGGGCCTCTCACTGCCTCCCTCCTCCCCTCCCCATTTGCCCCATCCCATCCCCCAACGGTTCCCTCTTCAGCAGAAACCAACTGCCCACCCCCAGAAATGCCCCTTCTCTTCTGTGGGGGAGGGCAGGGGGTGTCAGAGGGAGGGGTTCCATTCTCTGAACAGTGTCCTGGATCTGGGGGCAAATTATGAACACGTGAATGCAAGGATGGGAGCATTGCTAAAGCTTCCTGCCCCTGGCTCTCAGGACCAGACCCCTCCCCATGATGGCTGTTCCTTTTGGAGACCCCCCCTAACTTTTGGCGAATGGACTGGACAAGTGGCTGGAGGCGCTGCAGCCCCTCTCTTTCCTCCCCCCCAAACCTCCTCCTCCCTATCACTGTCCCAGTCCCCAGCCCCTGTGCCCTGGGGAGGTTGCCCAGCTCTCGCATGGACAGAGAGGTTGCTGCTAATTCAGCCCCCCCTCACCCCCCCTTTGCTTCTCCGGCAGGGCTCCTTCACGGTCATGGGGGTCATCAGTGGGCCCCTCCTGGGAGCCTTCATCCTGGGTATGTTCTTGTCCAACCTGCAACACCTTGGTGAGTCTCACGGGGGGGGGGGCAGCTTCTGGCCAGCACCAATGGGGGGAGGGGCAAAGACAGGATCCAGACCTGAGGGGGGCAGTGCTCCGGAGAGTGGGGGGGGGCTTTCCATCTGCTCTTTCAGGTGTGGCTCTTGCGCTTGGAGGGGGGAGCCAAGGGAGGGTCCGTTTTGGCCCCTGGGGGCTGCGGGGGGAGAGGAGCAAGGGGTGGGGGAGGCCAACCTGGCAACCTGCCTCACTTTTCCTGGGCTTGGATGAAGCAGCTTCTGTGAGCCTATTTCTGCCCTTGTTGCAGAAACAGTTGTGGGAATACCTGGGTGTCCCCCTCCTGCCCCCCCCCGAGTAAGCCAGGACTTGGCCGGGGTTGACCATGGCCGCCTCTTCTCTTCCAGGGTGTTTTCTCCGGCCTGGGCATTGGCTTCCTCCTCTCCTTTTGGGTCGCTGTGGGGGGCACCTTCTATCCACCCAGTGCTGGCACCATGGGCGTCCTGCCCTCCCACGCAGCCCTCTGCCCCCTCTACAACGTCTCCCAGGGGCCCAACAGCACCCTGCTCTATGGGCCGCTGCCCCCCCGGACCTCCTTGGAGCAGCCAGAGAGGTGAGCAGAAAGGCTGAGCTGGCTTCCTTCCAGGGGGGGGGGGGGGGCGCTCCGGCCCCCCCCCCCTGCCCCCCCCCCAGGATCTCCTTTTGGCTTCCTCCTCACACTCCCTTCCTCTTTCGAAGTCCGACTGGCGCACTCTGAGGGCCACCTCCTCCTCTGCCCCTCCCTTCCAGTTCCTCCACCGTGAGGATTGCAATCCCCAGTATCCCCAGCCTGAGGGGGTAGAGGATCCTGGCTTCCATGGGCTATTATAAGGAGTAAAAATAAGGAGTTTTCAGCACCAGAGCAAAGCAGAATAACAGAACATCAGAGTTGGGAGAGACCTTGGAGGTCTTCTAGTCCAACCCCCTAACTCAGGCAGGAGACCCTCTACCATTTCAGACAAGTGGCTGTCCGGTCTCTTTTTAAAAGCCTCCAGTGATGAAGCACCCACAATTTCTGGTGGCAAGCTGTTCCACTGGTTAATTGTCATTGCTGTTAGGAAGTTTCTCCTTAATTCTAGGTTGCTTCTCTCCTTGATTAGTTTCCATCCGTTGCTTCTTGTCCTGCCTTCTGGTGCTTTGGAAAACAGGCTGACCCCCCTCTTCTTTGGGGCAGCCCCTCAAATACTGGAAGACTGCTATCATGTCCCCCCCAGGCCTTCTTTTCATTAAACGAGCCATTACCCAGTTCCTGCAACTGTTATGTTGTAGCCTCCAAACCCCTAATCATCTTTGTTGCACTCTAGAAATCTAGCGTCTACATCTTTTTTTAAATAAATAACTAGATAGATGACTGATAGATAGATCTATTCTTGTAAGCCACCTTGAGTCGCCATGTGAGAATAGGCGGCAATATAAATTTCCTAAAATAAATAAATAAAGAGAGATGGGGTGGGGGGAGAGACAGGTGGGCAGAGTGCTGCATGCAGAGGGCCCAGGGGAAGGACGTGCTTGCCGGGAAGAGCCCGGCTGGGCGGGTGGTGGCAGTGCGGAGGTTGACGGTTGGTGGCATCCGGTCGCTCCCGAGGCAGCTGACCAAGTGGTGTCCCTTGCAGGCCAGCCATCGCAGACGACTTCTATGCCATCTCCTACCTCTACTATGGTGCCCTGGGGACCCTCAGCACGGTGGCTGCCGGGCTCTTGGCCAGCTGCCTGAAAGGTAAGCAGGCGGGCAGGGCGGTGGGCGAGGGCCCCTCTGGGACAGGCCACCCTTTCAGAGGCGGGCTCGGGTGCGACATCTCACCCGCCTTGAGGCTGGATAGAGCCCCCGGGGGGCCCTGCCTCTCTCTGGGGCACCCGAGGCCTCCCCATTTCGTGGCCAAGGACCCTCCGGGGGGAGCAGAAGAGCCGGAGAGAGGCTGCTGCAGCCGTGTTTCCAGGCAGGGGGTGGGGTCTAGATGCTCCCTCAGGCCCCTTCCAGCCCTTACGTTCTATGATAAAGAAGTGGGCATCCTTAGCCCGCAAGAGGTTCGTAGGTCCAGCTCCCCTCAGCTTGAGTGAAAAGGGGTCTCTGGAGGATATTTTTCCATGCTCAGCTGCACGAGGGGACCCAGGCCCTCTCTGCCACCCCTAGAAAGTCCCTGGGAGCAGCCCCTGCCTGCTGGGAGGACCCTGGGCCAGAAGGGACTTTCCCATGTCCTGGAAGCAGCCGGGCGGGCGGCCAGGCCTGGCTTGTGCTGACGATGGGCAAGTCTTTGGTGGGTCAGGGCTGAGCTTGGAGGCCGTGCTGAGGCTGAATCGCTTCCTGGCTTCTCTGGGGTTTATTTCAGGGTCTGCTGGCGAGGACAGCAAGCGGCCAGCGGTGCTGTGGTGGGATGTCATGAAGAGGCCATTGGACACGGTAGGGAGGAGGGCCAGAGTGCCTGGGGGCTCAGCAACAGGGGAGGGGGCTCTGGGAGTGGTTGGATCCATAATTCCTCCAAGAAGGTCCCTGAGAACGCAGAAGCAGCCTTCCTGTGGCTCTTTGGGGATCCCCAAATAAGATTCGATTTTGTGGCTTTGACAACGGCCCAGGCAGAGTTTGCTTCTCGTGGAGGTGGGCATAGCCCAGGGGTCCTTGGTGCTCTCTGAACTTGGTAGTTTTCTTGCAGACATTTCACAGCCCAACTAGGCAACATCATCAGTCTTAGGAGGGAGGGTTTGCTCTCAGTTGTGCTGTGTCTCTCCCTGACCCTGTTGGTGGGGAGGGGAGGTCTTGACGGTTCTTTGGTTGGGCTGTTTACGGATGGGGTTTTTTTGGCAGTCCCCGGACTGGGATATTGTTTACTTCTTGATTTTTACTCTGAAGTTAATCCTGGAGTTGATCTATGCTCATCTGGGTCTTGATTATTGGTGGGGAAGCGTTTTGATCTTTTTGTTCCTTTTTTGGCTTGCTGAGTGTCTCTTTTGCTCAGGATGTAGGTCTCATTTATGTGTCCCATTGATGGCCAACTTGTCAGGGTGCCGGGCTTCCGGAAATCCCCTGGGGTTTTTGGACTTGGCTTGGTCTACGATGGCCACAGTTTCCCAGTTGAAACTATGGCTGCGTCTGTCCATGTGAAGTCGAAGAGTTTTCCCCCCGTCTTCTGGGGAAGGTCCAGTGTCTCAGCCCAGAGACAGAAGCTGCTTTCCTTTGCTCTCCCAAAGATGCTCTTGGCTTCCGGGCAAGCAGAAGGACGGCCTGCCTACTCAGGTGGGGGAAGCCCCAGGGCTGACTCCTGCTCTTCTCCTGTCCCCACACAGACCCCTGAGGACGCTGCTGATCCCCAGAAGAAGGCGCTGGACTCGGCCTCCCTGGCTCTTGGCTTCGAGGGGGAGGAGAAGAACCTGCTGGCCGAGGGGGAGGTGGCCCTGGCCAGGAGCTCTGCCGAGTCCATCTGTACCTGCCACGCTCTCGACCACGGCTGCTTCCACCTCCTCCGAGAGACCTGCGTCTAGGGTCGGAGGATGGTGGGAGAGCAGGAGGACATTGAACTGGCTGCCTCTCCATGGGATGAACGCAAAGACCCCTCCCCAAGCGGGCGGACACATTCCTCACCTGGGGGCCGTTTCTCTCCCGAATCTGCCTTACGCCAGCAGCTCCTGAGGGCCCCTTTCCAAGCAGACGTGGGCGTGGGTGTGTCGTTGTGCAAAACACACACGCAGCAAAGAGGAGAGCCCCTCCTCAACCCAGACAATATTTTTCTCTGCTAGAAAATGGGAAGCCCCTCCGACACTGTCCAAGTCCATAGTTCACCCTTTTCTTAAAAGTAGCAAGTGGTGAAGAAATGCGGAGACCTCCTTTGTGGTCAATTTCTGGAAGTCCACGGGCTTTCCCAAGGAAGGCTGGGAACTGTAGTTTGGAGGCATGTTGGGCTTCCGGAGAGAATTTTGCCCATGTGGTAGTTGGTCCTTGGAGGTTGTCCCAGATGCCTCCTGCCAATCTTCGACCCAGCTCAGCTTCAGGAAGGAAGAGAGAAGGTGCAGAAAAGGTTGAGCCCAAGCATGTCAGGGGCTGCCGTTCTTTCCCCAGGAGGACGCTGGAGACCCTCTTCAAATGCAAGCAGAGGTCAGGCCAAAGGGGACCCTCCCTCAGAAGCTGCAGAGATAAGAGGTGGGATGTCTCTCCCTGAAGTATTGTCCCAGCCATCAATGTGGGGGGCTTTAAAAGAAGGTGTCCCAATGGAGGGAGGGGATTCTTCACAATGACCACAGGGTCTCCAGCCCACTTGATAGAGTTGAAAGCTGCCCCCTGCCCACAGAAGAAGACACTAAGCGAGCCCTGCTGAATCAGGCCAACTTCTGTCTGACACTTGGCTCTCCCAGGAGAGGCCCCTGGGGGCTCACAAACAGCAGTCTGGGGGACCCACCCCCTTCCCTCCTCCTTCCCCTTCAAGGCTCTTTGGGGTCCTACTGCCCTGAGACTCATCGGCCCCTATTTTTTTCAGAGCCATGCAAGTTAGTGGAAGCTTGGCTGCCTGGGTGGAGATCTCCAGCACATTGGAACGGGATGGCTGGGGGAGTTTTATGCAAGCTGAGAGAGACCCCCTTGGGTGGAAGCACAGGAGCAGCTAGATCCAAGGCAGGGTCTCACTTCAAAAGGGGGGCAGCCCCAGTGTGGGGCCTGTAGTGCTTTGGCCGCCTGCTTTGTGTCAGCTGCTTGGTGGCGGAAGGGTCTTCTCAGGACCCCTGACCACCTTTCAAGGGGATGCTTCAATCATCCTGATTTATCTTGGATCCTGGTCTGGAATCCGGGAACTTTCCTGCTTTCCCATTCAGAGTTTTGGCTGGGTAACACCCCCCCCCCCCCCCCCCCCGGCTGCCCCAGCCCCAAACTGCAGCGGACGAATGTAGGCCAGTTAGAAACACCCCCCCCTCCCCCGAAAGCACAGGGGTGAAGTGGGGTGCTACAAGGAAACTCACCAAAAGTACTTTTAGTGGAAACCACCTACTTCGCGGAAGAGGAATTTATGATATTTAAAATAATGTTTGGAAAATGGCTTGAAACGATGTCTATAAAGTTAGAACTTGGCAAGCCCCATCAGCCAGGTTTCCTCCTGCCAATCTCTCTCTCTCTCTCTCTCTCTCTCTCTCTCTCTCTCCCTCCCTCCCTCCACACACACACACACAAACAGCCTCCTCTTTACCAACCCTCAAGGCTCCTTCCTGGTCTTGAGTTTGGTGGGAAGAGCCAGTAGGAAGTGCAATAAATTATAAGCATCTTTAAAAACTAAATTTGATCGTTCTGTGCTTTTTCTGCAGCCTCTGTGCCGTTGCACAGGGGTGTCCTCGGGCAGTTGTTTCTTGCAAATGGGCTCATTTGGTCCTTGGGGGTCTTGAATATTCGGTGCCCCTCCAGATCGGGTGGGGCAGTTCTGCATCCTGTTTCTCACAGCTCTTTGGGCCAGGTAGAATATCCACAGATGAATTCTTGGGGGCATTGGAACCACTAAAAGCTGAGCCCTCCAGTTGGCTTGTCTCTTTCTGGAGATCTGATGGGGACAGATGAGCAGGAGAATGGGAGGTCTTGATTTTTCCGCTCCAACCTGCAAAAGCAGGAAAACGGTAAATGTTGGCCCATTGGATCTCCTGGTGGTCTCCCATCCCGGTCAAGACCGGCCCCTTTATTAAGGCAGCTTGGATTCCGCACGTCTTGCGGGCGTCGAAGCCAAAGACGCCATCTTTGTACAGGTTGTTGCCCTTAACAACTGTTCGGTGGAGCTGTCCAGGGGGCAACCAAGCCGTTACCATGACAACGGGTCCTCGTAAAATATAGAGGCTCGGCAGCCATACGTCATCCACTTGGGTTCGCCCACGGATGGGGACAAGACTTCGCAGCGAGAGATGCGCAAGCGCAGAGAAATCCAGTAGAGGAACGCGCCGGCGGCCATCTTGGCTATGGGCAACCCCTTTGTTCCTGATCCATCTTTACAGGGGCAACGCTCAAAAGCCTCCCCAGGAGGGGGCGCGGCCGTCTTGTTTCCTCCCCCCCTTCTTTCCGCGCGGAGAGTCAGGAAAGTGCGAAACAAACGGGACCGGTGGCCAGGTGGGGGAGAGGGGAACGCTGGCCTGAACTCAGATAGGAACCGCCCTCGACAAACATGGCGGCGGAGGGGCGGAATCCGGCCGCCGTTTCCGCCCTCAGGTGCGGGGCGCGGCGTGACGTCCAAAGGCTGCGACTCCCCCCGGCGGCGGCGGCGGCGGCAGCGGCAGGTAGGGGCTGCGGCGGGTCGAGCCTGTCCCCGGCCGAGAGGAGCTCGGCCTCCGCTCCGCCGGTGAAGCGGGGCCCGGGAACGAGGGCCTAGGCGCGGCCGGAGGGGCTTCCGGGGGCCCCGCCGACCCTCTTTCCTCCCGGATAAGGAGCCCCGATAAGGGTGGGGGCCTCTGCGGCTTTGAGGGCGGGGGGACTACAACTCCCAGCACTCCCAGCCAGCCTAGCCGGGGGATCCTGGGAGCTGTAGTCCCCCCCGCCCTCAAAGCCGCAGAGGCGGAGAAAGACTCGCCCCGAAGATCGGGAGGCGCAGGGGGAAAAGGGGGAAACCACTTCGGATCCCTGTTTGGGGCCTGAAGCCAGGAGCCGCTTTGAAGGGGTGGGGTGGGTGGGGAGGAGATGTGTTTCGAACTCAGAACAGGCCACTCCCACTTGGGACGGGGTTGGCTTTGGGGGGGAGGAGGATGGTGTGTGTATGGGGGGGGGAATTAAGTAGGGCTGGAGGTGACCCCACAAATGACCCCACCCCACCTTCTGCATCCTACAGGAAAGGTAATTTTGCAGCCCCCCCCCCCCCCCCCTTCTGGAACCCCCCCCAGGGCCTCCCCCCTCCCCCCCCCGGCCTCTTTGAGGGGACTGGCCCACTCTCCTGTGGATCCTGCCTGCACAGGGAGTCCTCGCCTTACGACCACAGCAGAGCCCCAGATTCCCCTTGCTAAGGGAGACATTAGTTAAATTGAGTTTTGCCCCCCATTTTACGACCTTTCTTGCCACAGTTGTCGAGTGAATCGCTGCAGTTAAGTTAATAACATGGTTCTTAAGTGAATCTGGCTTCCCTGTGGACTTTGCGGGTCAGAAGGTCTCAGAAGCTGATCGTGTGACCCCCCAGGACACGGCAACTGTCGTAAGTATCAGCCAGTTGCTAAGTGCCTGAATTTTGATCACATCACTAGGGGGGGCGGGGGGAAATGCTGGAACGGTCCTCAGTGTGAAAAACGGTCATAAGTCCGTCACTTTTTTTTCAGTGCCGTTGTAACTTTAAATGGTCACTAAGCGAATGATTGTTAAGTCGAGGTCTACCCGTAAGGAGATGTTTCCGTGGGATTGAGGGAGGCGTAAGTAGCTGCAACATGAAGCTATTATTTCTGGCCTCTGTTCCCCTGGAGAAGAGCGGCTGACCCCTGGATGGGCCTGAGCCCAACTGCCCTGCCTCTCCTCGGCCTTTTCCTCCAGGCTGGACGTCCCAAGTTACTCGCTGGGCATTTGGGGGAAAGCCCACAGAAGCTTATAGGGCAGGGGTGTCAAACTCGATTTCATTGAGGGCCGAATCAGGATTGTGTTTGACCTCAGGGGTGGGTGAGGCCAGGGTAGGCGTGGCCAACTCCACACCCACAGGTGTCAAGGGCCCCTGTAGTGGCCAAGTGCTAAGGCAGGACTTCCCTCAGACCCTCCCTCCCTCTCATTATAACCCTTCCTTCCTTCCTTCCTTCCTCCCTTCCTTCCTTGCTCTCTTTCCTTATTTTTCCTTCCTTGCTCTCTTCCCACCTTCCCCTCTTTTTCTTTCTCTGTCCTCTTTCCCTTCCTCCTTTCCTGTGCCTACTTGCATGCTCAAATGCAAAAGGGGAAACATTTCTCCTTTGGTTTTCTTTTTAGTTTGTTTTGCTAGCCCTTTGCCAGCTAAAATGGAGTGGGGGGGGGGACACCACGCATGGCCTCCCGGGGGGCCGTTTTCGGCTGCAATGGCCTCCTGCAGCCCTCTGAGACCGAAAACGGAGCCCCACCCGAGTTCTGTTTTTGCTGGCAGAGGCACTGCAGGCCGGTCCTTGGCTGTTTCGAGGGCGGCCGCATGGGCCAGGTCTAAGCACCCAGTGGGCCGGATGAGGCCGCCGGCTTTGAGTTTGACGCCCCTGTTATAGAGGCATCTCTTTTGCCCATAGGATCATAACTGGGAAGAGACCCCCAGGCTTATCCGTACAAGTAGTCCTTGACTTACATTCTTATGTCCGTTTTCCACACTTACGACCATGGCGGCACCCTCACGACCACGGGATAAAAGCTCAGGTGCTTGGCAATCAGCGTGTGTATTTATGGGGGTTGCCGCATCCGCAGGTCATGGGGCCACTCCCTGCATCCTTCCCAGCCAGCTTCTGGCAAAGTCAGTGGGAGAAGCAGGACTCACTCAACAACCCCGGGGCTGCAGAAATTCGCTTAATAACCATGGACATCCCAAAGTGCATATACCGTGTTTCCCTGAAAATGGGACCCTGTCTTATATTATTTTAAACCCTGAAATAAGCGCTTGGCCTTCTTGCCATGCTCTCAAAAGCCCCATTGGGCTTATTATCAGGGGGTGTTTTATTTTGGGGGAAACAGGGTAGCTAAATGTCTTCCAGGTCCTGGTTGTCCCAAAGGTGCTTTTTCAGGAGGCAACTGGTCTTTCTTTGTTTTTCCTTGAAGACGTTTCGCTTCTCGTCCAAGAAGCTTCTTCAGCTCTGACTGGATGGTGGGGGATGGAAGGATTTATATTCAGTTCCAAGAAGGTTCCACATCCATTTGCCTCCTGGGGGCTCAGATAAAGCCCCAAGCGGCCTCAAGGTTGCTGACAACCAGATGACAGCAAGGGGTATAAATCCATCCATCCTCCACCATCCAGTCAGAACTGAAGAAGCTTCTTGGAGGAGAAGCGAGACGTCTTCGAGGAAAAACGAAGTCCAGTTCCCCCTTGGAAAAGCACCTTTGGGTTAACGACTGTAGCAAAAAAAGGTTGTACCGTTGGGCACCACTCACTCAGCAACAGAAATTCTGGTCGTAATAGTAAGTCAAGGACCAGCCGTATTGCATTTGTATTTGTGTATATTTAGGCCACATAGTTTGAGTTAAAATACACCGAAATTGCTACTTACTTCTTTTCAAGTTGAATAAAGGAGGAAAAAAATCCAAGATTCCCACGCATGCTGGCTCAGGATGATGTCACTCCTCCCTCCCAAGACAGCCGGTCAGACCTGCCCCAGCAAAGGAAGACTCTCGGCTCCATTTGTAGGGAAAAGGCTACTTTAACTAAGAGCCAAGCGCTTCCAGTAAGCGAAGCCAGAAGGAAGAGAAAATCCCTGGTTAACTCCCCCCTCCCCCCATATCTCCCCCTTGTCCAGTCACATCCAGAGAGGAGGTTTTGGTAACTCTCCCTGCAGGGGTTGGCTAGAGGGATAGGGGTTGCAGGCCACTCCCAGGTCCGTGGCTTTGGGATGTCTCCAGACTGGAAGTCAGGATTGCCTTCGGTCTCACCTCCTCCTTTCGGTTCCCCCCCCCACACACAACGCTCCCTCCCCCCCATAGCGAATGGCAGACTGGCCTCTGGCGGAGCACAGGTGTGAGCGAAGGGTGGCAGCTCCCATGCAGCCCATTTAACCGACTTCTGTTTCTGGCCGGCTGCGCAGGCGTGAGCACCCTGCGGGATGCCCAAGAAGTTCCAAGGGGAGAACACCAAGTCAGCCGCTGCCCGGGCAAGGAAGGCCGAGGCCAAGGCGGCGGCTGATGCCAAGCGGCAGAAAGAGCTGGAGGATGCCTTCTGGAAGGACGAGGACAAGCACGTCATGCGCAAGGAGCAGAGAAAGGTAGCCCGGTGGGCTTCCTCGCTCGGTCCGGAGGAGGGAGGGAGGGAGGGAGGGAAGGAAGGAAAGGGAGAGAGGGAGGGAGGGAAGGAAGGAAAGGGAGGGAGGAAGGTGAGGGGGTTCTGTGGAGGGGGAAGTCTGGCGGCCAAAGGCAGCCCAAGTGGCTCCTCCCGTGTCCTGCTAGAGGTGTGGGAATGGGAGGATCCTGGGATTTCCTGCTCTGCAATCCTTGGAGCGTGTCTGGGTTGAACCCCAGCCCTGGAATGTGGAAATTCAGGAATCCTCCGGGGCAGAATTGATCCTTGAGTGACGGGCCGAGAGCTCTGGAGAAGAGACCTGGGTTTCAGGCAGCCTGTATCCAGGGCTCCCTTTGCTGGACTGCTTGGCAGGGCCCGTTTCCCGGTCTGCAGGTGGACAAAAAAAGGGACGAGGCAGCAGGTGCTCTGCCCACTGAAGCAAGAGCCCTTTGCCAGTCCACCCTGGGCCGCACCAGCTGCTTCGCCCAATGCAGCCCCCCACGGCATGGATCGACAGCGCAAAGCTTGTGCTCAATCCCCCCACACACACACACCTTCCAGGGGAGGTTGGCCCCAACCTTTATGGTCTTCTGGAAAGCCCTCAAAACGTGCCCCAAAGGTGCTTCTTCCAAAGGCAACTGGGCTTTCTTTGTTTTTCCTTGAAGACGTTTCGCTTCTCATCCTAGAAGCTTCTCCAGTTCTGACAGAAGCTGCTTCATTCAGAGCTGAAGAAGCTGCTTGGATGAGAAGCGAAACGTCTTCAAGGAAAAACCAAGGAAGCCCAGTTGCCTTTGGAAAAAGCACCTTTGGGACAACCATGACCCGGATGACGGAGAATCTCCTCAGACGTCCCTCAGAAGGTCTTTCCATCAGGCCTGGGGGTGAAGCCCAGACACTCTGGTTTTATTCTATTTATTTCTGTCCCGCCTTTATTCTGTTGACAAATAACTCCAGGTGGCAAACGCATTCAACACACCTTATTCCTCCTGTTTTCCCACAACAGCACTGTGAGGTAGGCTGGGCTGAGAGAGAACAACTGGCCCAAGGCCACTCAGCTGGCTTTCATGCCTAAGGCAGGACTGGAACTCATCACCTCCTGCTTTCCCTCTCTCTCTCTCCCTCTCTCTCTCTCACACACACACACACTGCAGCTTGGCACTTCACAGTTGGCGAGGTTATGCTGGCATCTGTGCCGACAGGCCGAAGAGGGGCAGGGAGGGGAGGGGAGGGGGCATGGCCGGCTGACTCAGCTGGAGCATGGGCAGGTGGAGGGATGAGTTGAGGAGAGGCTGTGCCCAGTTCAGAGCATGGCACAAGGAACAGGCACGCTCCCCACCCCCCACCCCCAGGAGCTCAGAGTCCCTTTGGGGACCGTCCCCCTCGTCTCCCCCCCCCAACTGCCAGCTTCCAAAGTAGACTACCTGTCCAGGCACCCTTGAAAAAGGAAACTCGAACCCAGAACCGTGTCTCTGAAAGAGTTGAGAAAGAAATGGGGTGTGTGTGTGTGAGAGAGAGAGAGAGAGAGAAAAGAGATTTGCAACCCTTGGAGAGAAGAGGAGACCTTGGGGGGAAATCTATGCTGCGCCCTGGAGCCCCGCCAGCCGCCTCCAGCCAGTCGGGCAGGACAACAAATGTAGCCCTGGATCTTTCAAGGCCTCGTAATGAGCCACGTCCAGGAGCCACAGACTGAGGGTTGCGTGTCAGTCAGCAACCACAGAGGGATTTTTCTCCACGATGGCCGCTCCTTGCCCTTGCCCTTGAGGAGAAAAAAGGCCCCCTTTGGCCTCCAGGGCCTGGAGAAAGACATCCGGGAGCCCTGGACTCAAAGAGCACCAGAAGCCTCAGGGCCACCCTTGGAACAGGGAACCCAATTCCGGTCGCCACAATACAGAGACGATGTGGTTGTTTGTTTGTTTTTTTGAAAAAACTTTTTTTATTTTTTTAAAACACAAACATAAAGCACTTCTTTTCCAAAACGAAGCATTGATCCAGTCACAAATTAATACAAATCACTAACAAATCTTAACTTCTAATTAACACAACTTAATATTTTACTCAGTTACTTCCCTAAATTCTATCAATTTAACTATGGCATTATCCCAAAAACCCGTTACTTAAATCTTAAATCCTAACCAAATATCATTCCATTTTTCTCTTCCTTTTTGCTTAGATGGATATATTTTAACAATATAAATCATTACAGTTATTATAAACATTTAAAAAATATTTAACTATGGCTCCCAATATAATCTTCATTACTTTACTACTAATCCCAATACAATCATTTCATTTTTACTGTTCCCAACATAATCATTTTTATTTTTTTTTTGGCTGTTAATTCCAACATAATCATTTTATTTTACTATTGAACTCAGCATTATCATCTTTATTTCTGTTATTAAACCCAACTTATACATTTCATTTTTAATGTTAACCTCAGCATACTCCTCATTTTAGCTCTCCTACCCAGCATAATAATTTTTATTTTTGGCTGTTAATCTCAGCATAGTCATTTTATTTTTATTATTAAGCTTAACATCTTTATCTCTCTCTATGTTGTTAAACGCAACATAATCATTTCATTTTTGCTGTTACTCCCAGCAAAATCCTCTTTATTTTGTTGTCCTGCCCAACATAATCATTTTTGTTTTTTGGCTGTCAAACACAGCATAATCATAGTTAACTTTGCTATTAATCTCAGCATCCTCCTATTTTTTGTTGTTTCCATCCATCTATACGTTGCTTATTTCAGTTAATCATATTTATCATTATCCTTTTTAATCACAATTTAACATTGAGACATGGTTCTTGCTTGAAACATAACTTTGTATATATTTAATAATCTCTCTTATACATCCATAATTATCTTATAAAAACCTCCTTTTTATTATTACTACCACCTATACATTATTTCATTTTTAATCACATTGTTTTAATCTTTTTCCTTTTTCCAGCCGTGTCTACCTCATTTCTTCACTTTCTCACCTGCTAGCATATATTTCCTTCCATTTTTAAAGTCTTCATATTAAAGTCTTCATGTCATATTAAGTCTTTTTCTTGTTTTTAATCTGGATAAAATGCATCAAGTTCCCTTCTCTTGAGCCTGCGCTAGATCCTTCTTCTATTCCTGCGCCAGTTTCTTAAATTGTTATTATTCCAATTATAGGAGTTCCATTATAGTTTCCTTTTCTTTTTCACCAAAGTCAAACTGCCTGCAGACGGGAAAAAAAAACTCCTTCCACGACTGTTATCTGTAAAGTTCAAAATTTTCCATAACAAAGACGAATTACAATGTTCCTTTTTGTCCCTCTACAATCCACATTTTCCATTAGTCATGCAAGTATCCATTTTGTTACAATTATATAACAGTCTAATTTAATTACTCTTCTCCTTTGATTTTAAAAATATCAAATCTTTTTTTAAAAGATCCAGTTCCAATTTTAAAATATCCAGTCTTTCCACCATGTCTCGATATTTAGTTCCATTAGTTCTGTTCTAGAGTTAATTGTTTATCGGGTGTTTGTCTCTTTAAAGTTTCATTTTAAACTTTCCATAGCCCCTTTGTTGTTCAGCTGCTGTTTTAAAGCTAGGGGTCTTATAGATAATAATATTGCTCTAAGGGTTGTTGCAAGCCTGGGTTGGTTGTCACTCATCCGGCTTCAAAATGCTCCGTTTCAATCCACTTTCCTCCTGCATATCTCTTAGCCCGCTTGTCCCAGCTTCGTGGGAGCCGCCATGGCTGCCGCCCCCCGCCACCGACTCACAGTGGGTTCCCTCTGACCTCCGAGGAACTTGCCTATTCCACTTGGTCGTCCGAGGCACCCCTCCTTTTTCCCCGTCCCTGCAGGACGGTTCTGGTCCGAAGACCCATCTGCGGCGGTTCGGCAGCCGGGATTTTCGCGGCGTTCATCAGAGTCTGCTATTTCCCCGACTGTCTCACCGTGATGCCAAACCGGAAGTCCAATACAGAGATAATGTTGAGACTCTGGAAAGAGGGACAGAGGAGGAAGGGGAGCAGAGACCGAGGCCAGCCTCACCAGGCCAGGAAACTCCAGAGGAAGTCTGAAGAAACTTGGACTGAGGTTCATTATCTGCAGTGACCAGATCTTGCAGGCCTCTGCGGGGCCAGAGAAGCAGGCGCCTGCCCGCACCCTGTGGCCTCTGGGGGCCCTTGCAGCCAAGAGTGAGCCCCTCTGTCTTAAGTGGTCCTGCCCCCTCACCTCCAGAGCTCTTGGACTACGGATTCCGAAGGGCCCGAGAGTATTTTTTTCTGACTGCCCTGAATGCCAGCTGTTCTTTTGGGGGGAGGGCTGTGATCTCACACGGGGCTCCCCCCATCTCTCTCCCCCCCCCAGGAGGAGCGGGAGAAGCGCCGCCTGGAGCAGCTGGAGCGGAAGAAGGAGCTGCAGCGGCTGCTGGAGGAGGAGGATGCCAGGATGAAGGGCAAGGCCCCCAAGCCCCCCGGCCCCACCAAGATCACCCGGGCCCAGATCGATGAGGCTCTCCGGAAGGAGCTGAAGGAGAGCACGGACGCTGCCGGCAGTGGTGAGCAGCCCCGTCGGGGATCCCCAAGCACCATGGCGGGGGAAGGGGCGGCTGGACCCTAGTGGGGCGTGGACAGGAGGGAGACCTGCAGGAGGCCCTGAGGGCTGGGCACGGAGGTCTTTCTTGTGGAGGCAGCTTCCCCCCCACCAGAGGGGCCAGGTAGAGTTTAACCCTGCCGTTTCTCTCCTCCCCCCCCCCACAGAGAAGCCGAAGAGCCACCTGGAGGTGCCCTTGGAGGAGAACCTGAACCGGCGGGTGCTGGAAGAGGGCTCGGTGGAAGCCCGCACCATTGAAGAGGCCATCGCGGTGCTCAGGTGTGGCTGGGCGGCGCTCCTGGGGGCCAGTGGGCGAGCGCCTCCCTCACAGTCAGGGTGCAGAGGGTCTCTGGGAACCCCTCACCAGTGGAGAGCCTGGCCGGGCAGGGCGCCCTCCTCTTCCGCTAGCCAAGTTGGCATGTGGGGCACCTGGGAGCCTTAGAGGCTGCAGAGTGGGGAGGCTTTGCTCCCAGAGGGCATTGCCCCAGTAGAAGGAGCAGGGGAGGGGCTGCAGCTCCCCTCTTTAAAAAGGGCCCAAGGCTGGGAGTCCGCACTCCTCCTGGGAGGCTGAAGAGAGCCTGTGGGACCCTCAGCAGCCCTGGGAGCCCCTCACAGTTTGGGAGGCTCCTCTCCTGGACACGCTGCAAAGTGGCGTCTGGGCCAGGGAGGGGGGGATCTTGGGGTTCCTCTGGGAGGAGGAGGAGGAGCCCTGGGGATGGGGGCCTGTGCTGTGGGGGGGGCAGGTGGGGCTGGGCGCCCCTCGCTCACCCTTTTGCCACCCTTCCCTGCAGCGTGGCCGATGACCCAGACCGGCACCCGGAGCGCCGGATGAAGGCAGCCTTCTCAGCCTTCGAAGAGGAGACGCTGCCCCGCCTGAAGCAGGAGAACCCCAACATGCGCCTGTCCCAGCTGAAGCAGCTCCTGAAGAAGGAGTGGATGAAGTCCCCCGAGAACCCCATGAACCAGCGGCACGCGACCTACAACAGCCAGAAATGAGACCGAGGGGGGAGCTGCTCCCCTGCCCCCTCCAGGCCCTTCCTCCCCCCCCCCGGTCATTTCCCTCTGCTCTCCCCCCACTTGCTCTGGAGGGCTATTAGGGCCCCCTGGGAATGGGGCAGGGAGGGCCCCGAGAGACCGGAGCCCACTCACCCCCTACACCCCAACCCCATTTCCCGGCTGCCTTCCTGAGCTGGTGGGGAGGGGAGCCCGAATTCATCCCAGAAGGGTCCCCACATTCTTCCTTGTACCGCCTCCACCCCTGAAATGGGCAGCTCTGCTCCCTCCCCCGCCCTGCCCCGATATCTAGCCCAGCGCAGGGAGGCTGGGTGAGTTGCAGCTCCGCCCCCTCTGTTCTGCCCTTTCCTGAAGACCCCCAACTCAGGAGGCCCCCTTGACTGCTTCAGCAGCTCCCAGCCCCCCACTTGAGGTGCAGACTTGTCCCCCCTTTCTGCAAATGGGGTCAGGATTCTGGCCTGGGCCCCTCTTGCCTTCCCCACCCCAGAGGGGTCGAAGCTGGTCCTCCTTCACTCTCTCCCAAGACCCCCAGTGCTTCGGTTCTCTTTGGGGACCCAGAGGGCCCGCCTTCTGCCCCTTTCTCCCCCAAAGGGCGCCTCACCCCGTGGCGGAGGGGAGGCAGAAGACCCCTGCCTCTTCTGCTGACTTGGGAACCCCCAAGTATCCCCCTCCCTGGGGTTTGGCCTGCCTTGGTCTCTGTGCCTGCCCCTCAATTACTCCAGAAATGGAGGCCCTCTGAGGCTGCCCAGGGATGGGCCGCTCTGGTCACTGGGTCTTGCCTCCCCCCCCCAGAAGGGCAAAACCTGCCCCAAAGAGAGTGGGGGGGGGGATTCCCCAGGGGGCCCTGCTGCTGCCCTGCTGGGTCGGTGCCAGTTTTTGATCTCTAGCTGTGGGCCTGCAGTGCCCCCTCCCCCTCCCTCCCTCTTCCTCAGTTGGGCTTTGCACTCCAGCCCTTCTCCCACCTCTGGCTGCTCCCCCCCAACTGTCAGAGTGCCGTTTGCCTGACTTGAACCCTGAGCCAGCTGGAGCCTTTTGGGCCAGAGCTGGGCTGGGAGGAGCAGCTGGGGTGGGGAGCCACTGCCTCACTCCATGCCAGGCAGCCCCCAACCCTGGCTGGCCTTTGCTGTCCCACCATCCGAACAGGCCCCGCCCATGTGTACACACACACACACACACACACACACACACTCACTCACTCTCCCCTCTCTCCATGAAGGGTCTGGCCAGTCTTGGCATCACCGGGCATGTCCTGTGCCAGCAGAGCAGTTCTTCTCCCTCTTGGGCCTTCAAAAGACCACCTGCAGGGAACGGGGGGGCTGTGCTGGCTGGCCCCTCCTACTTTGCCGCTTCTTACGTGTTCAGGGAAAGTTCTGGACTTTTAAACATGGACTGATACCTCAACCCCACGACAAAATAAAGAGAATTGTGCCCGCTCTGCCCTCCGCTGCTCTCTCGCCTAGCCAGGCAGGACTCTCCAAGCTGGTCTTTGACTTCGTGGCTTGAAAGGCAGGCAGCACATCCCCCCCCCCCAGGCCTGTCCCCACAACATCAACCCCCCCTGTGGTGCGAGAAGAGGGGCTGGGTGGGGGAGCAAAGCCCCAGAACAGCTGCCTTCAATGCAGGATTAAAATGCTATTGGCTGGAGGTGGCACTGAGGAGGGTTGCCCCCCCCCCTTTGCCCAACAGCACATTTCTGCAGGGTGGGCTGGGTTTCTAGTGACCCCTCCCCCCACAGCTCCCTGGGGGGGTGTCCCTTCCTGTGGCTCCTGGTCTCCCCTGCTGACTCCTGGGTGGGGTGGAGAGGTTGGGGGGCTGCACTCTGTCCCACCCCTTCCTGCACCAGGACCTTGGCCCTTCCAACCCCCCCTCCTTCCCTCCCTAGTCCCAGCCGCGGCTGCTGGGGCGATTCCCTCCGCCCTCTGCTGTTGGGGTGGGTTGTGATGGGCAGCCTTGCTCCAGGCCTCCGTGAGGAAGGCGGAGTGGTCCAGGGCAGCCTTGTTGTCATGGCAACGGGGCATCTCCCTCTGCAGGGCCGCGGGGGGAGGATGGGGGAATCCGGGCGGGGGAGGAGAGTCACGAGGCAGCGGGCGGGATTCCTCCGCAGAGCCGGGCTTCCCCGAGCGGGGAAATGCAGACGGGCGGGGGAGAAGGGGGAGCGGGGGCGCAGGAACCTCCCGCATCGCGGCTATTCTTGGCTGAAAAGGAAGCGCTTTCCCAACCGTCTCCCGACGCCCCCTCCCTCCTTTCCTTCACGACGGCTGTGCGGGGGGGGGTGGAGGATCCCCCTGGGCAGGCTCCTCCCAAGCGTGGGGGAGGGGCGATGCGGCCTAGCAAGGATCGACCCTTCGGCTTTGCGGCCCAGAAGTAGCCCCGCCCGAAACCGGACTTTGGGGGGGGGGAGGTCCCCACCCACGATGCAAGCCCAACATCCCTTCTCGACGGGTCCCCCGGCAAGCGGGGCTTTGGGGCTCCGGGGGGCGGAAGGTGCTCATCACAGGCGACCCGGTTCGGCCTTCTGCGAATCCTGGCCGGGGGGGGGAGAGGGGCCCTTGCTTGGCCGGGGCAGATCCCTCACCGGGGGCCGACCGCCCTCGAGAAAACGGAGGCAGCTGCGGCCGAAAAGGCTGAGGGTGGGAAGCCTCGGCGAGGGTCGCGGCCTCCGGGGTTGCAATTCTCGCGCGCAGCGCCCGCCTCCGCCCTGGAGATCCCAAGGAAGCCGCGTCCAGGGGGCCTGCGGAGCCCCGGGGAGGCTGCAGCTTAGCGTGGAGGCGGCTGGGAGCTCCGGGGGTCTCCGGGCTCTTTTCCTCACACACCCGGGGGGAGAGGAAGGACGTTCGGCCACAGCAGGACTGGCGCTCGGCTTCTCTGCCCCTGGCCCTCCGGCCCCGCCACCAGCTGCTGCTAGACGGCTGCGGGGGCTGAGAGACAGAGAAGGCAGCGCTGCGGCGGCTTCTTGACCCCAAACAGACACCCCCCCCCCGCTTCTTCTCCCCACCAACCCCGCGGGGGCCCTTCGGCAGATCCGCGCCGCCTTCCTTGGCTCCCTGCCACCCACTGTCGAGGAAGCCGGGAGGCAGCGGCCTCTGCCCGCCACTGAACTTGGGCACCCCGGGAGACCCCCAGCCGCGTCTCCCACGCCTGAGCGGCCAGGAAGCCGGCGCTTCTCTCGGCCGCTGAGGCCTGCGGGATCCTCCTGGCGCGGCTCTCCAGGGGGCGGCGGGGAGCCCTTGGCCAGCCCAGCGGCGCCTCTGAGGGGCCGCCCTTGAAGAGTATTGGGAAGCGGGGGGCGGTGGCGCACGGGCCGTTGCTGTGCGCGGGGCTCCCGGAGGATCCAAGCTGGAGTTGCTGCCTAAAGCCCCCCCGCCCCGGGGCTGAGGACACGGGCTGCCAGGCCGGAGGAGCCCCGTCGCTCGGCTGACCAGCATTTTCTCCCCATCAAAGTCGCGTTTTCGTTTCAGGTCCCACCGTTTCGGTTCCGGCCTCTCTTGGCTTGCACAAAGCGAGGCTGCAGGCGCCGCGCCTTCCCCGCTCCCTCCGGGGGCGGCCTGCGGGGGGGAGGGGGGCAGGATTCTGCTCGCTCGTTTTGAGCGCGGCCTGCCGGCCTCCGTTGAGCGGGGAGGGTCAGGCTGGGCTCGGGGGCTTCGCTCGGGCGGAACGCGGTTCTGACGGCGTCGGTTGCGCTTTGCAATCCGCTCTGCGACGCCCCTCCCGAGCCCGACCGCTTTCGCCCCCTTGTCCTCCCGGAGCGGGCAATGGCGGGGCAAGGGGGGCCCTTGGGGGGGCCGATGGCGAGTGGGAGCCCCAGCGGAGCCGCCCCGCCGGCCCTCGCCTTCCGCGGCGGAGACGTCCTCGGGGCTGCAGCGGGGCGCGCGGGAGCTCCCGGGAAGGCGTCTCTTGCCCGGGGCCGCCGCGCTCCTTGCCCGGCCGTGCAGCTCGCTTGCAGCGCGGAGGCTCCTGGGCGGCCCCGACCTGCCCTCGCCTCTCTCCGCCAGCCCCTCCTCGACCCCCACCGCTCGCTGGCTCTCCCTCGTTCCGCGGACGGGACTGCAGGTGCGGCGGCTCGGAAGACCCGCCCGCCCCGAAGGGGACCCGGCTGGCCGGCCTTGCCCTGGCGGGCTGGCTTCTGCGGGGCGAGGGGCTTCCCCGGCGGGGGGGTCTCGGGGAAAGCCCTCTCGGCTTCCTGGCTGGCGCCGCCCTGCCCGGCCAGGCGATCCCGAGGGGCTCCCCGGCAGGGGAGGCGGAGACCCCGCCCCGCCCCCTCCCCGAGCCGGCGGCGGCGGGGCTTCCTCTCCGGCAGGGCGGGATCCCGGCTGCTGGGGCGCGGCGGGGCTTTTGTTCCCGGCTGGCGGGCGGAGCGGGCTGAGTCGCGGCGCTGGAGCTTCGCGGCGGCCGGAGGACGGAGCAGGTATTTGCGCAGGGCGGCCGGCGGGGCGCGGGGGAGCCTCGGCGGCGGCAGAGAAGGGGCGCTCGCGGACTGCGCCTCCTCCCGCCGCGCTCTCGGCCTTTGGCGGGTCCGGTCCGGCCCTGCCCTTGACCGCGGCGACGCCAGCTTTTGTCCCCGGGCGACTCCGGCGCTGCCGGCCGGGACGGCTGCTGGTCTACGCGGCCGCCGACGGGTGGTCGCGTCCGGACACCCCCCACACACACGCAAAAAAGCTGGCCCGAGCTGTGGCGGGAGGGGCCGGTGTGGGTGTCGCGTTTGTACTTCGGGGCTCTCAAGTTTGCCGAAGTTGGCCTGGCCAGGAAGCAGCCCAGAGGGCCGGGGGTCACTGGGCAGGCAGGCTGGGGGCGGAGGGGGGGAGGCGCTTCGGGATGGGCTCCGTCCAGCAGCAGCCCTTCTGTTGTGGCTGGCTGAGCTGCACCCCCCCCCTCCTTGCCAGGGCTGGTCTGGCTCTGACTCGTGCAATTTGACCGTTTGCAAGTCTTCGTGGATGGATCTAATCCTAACATCCCCTCACGGAAAAAGGATAGGAGCTCGTCTAATATAATATGCAGAAATCTAATATAGCATGTACGAAATATCATGTAAGATAACATGTAAGAAATGAACATCTCCAGGAGAAGCTAAGAAGTATTTTAAAAACAATTGCTGTTCTGGAGTGTGAGAAGGGTGGCATATAAATTTAATAAATAAATAAAAACGATCTCCCTGACAAATTCCCCATGCAGGCTGGGGAATTCTGGGAGTTGAGGTCCACAGATCTTAATGTTGCCCAGGTAGGACGCTCCTCCTCTTAAGGCTCCGGGTAATCTTTTATTTATCATTTATCCCTCAGGCACAATTTAAGGTCTCTCCTGCCCTGGGTGGCTTGGAAGACCACATACCCCCAATGGGCAGCTGTCCAGAGTTTGCCGGCTTTCCTAAAATTCTGAGAGTGGCCCCTTGTGTTAGGGTGGGCCTCTGTGTCCCTGGCACCATGTTCCTGCCAGTTTTGGGTTTTCTAAAGGGCAGAAGCTGAAGGAGATGGAGGAATCGGAGGCCTTCACAGGGCATGCGAGGCTCCCTGGCCCTGAGGAGGGGCTGACTTTTTAGGATTTAATAAAGGAGAATATTTGTAGCTCAAGGTTGAACTGAGGGGTCCTTGGTGCCCTCTGAGCTGGGTTGCTTTCTTGCAGACGTTTCATCATTGCCCAAACTAGGTAACCTCATCAGTGCTAGTGACTACTAATACTAGCTACTACTAGCACTGTTTCCTAGTTTGGGTAATGCAATGTCTGCAAGAAAACAACCGGGGAGCACCAGGGTCCCCTCGTTATTAGAACCTCCTGAGTAGAAGCAGAAAACATGCTAGACGGGTGAAGGCAGAGGGGGACTTCTCCTGAAATCCTCCCTTTCGCCCCCTGGAATCTGGTCTGCGGCTGGTCTGAGAGAGCTCGGACTGAGCTGGAGGCTTCCTGGGACAAGGCTTGACCTGAGGCCCGTGGGTGCCTTTGTTTGGCCAGGGGGATCCCAGGCCCAGCTGGGGGAGAGAGGCCTTGGAGGGCCCTGGCCTTGCTCAGCACAAGGAGGTCTCCACAGCACCCACTTAATCTGGCCCTCCCCCAGAGTCCTGAGGACTGGAAAGAGGTCGAGGAGAGAAGCCATCGTTTCCCAGTTGCGTCACACCCGACCTGACCCGACCGGGGCCTGGCTGGCTGGGCCAGATCCTCCCTCTGAATTGGGACGACCGGAATCTGACCTTATTCCGTGGGGAAATAAATGTTTGTGGAGATTCTCAGTCATCCAGGTCATCATTGTCTCAAAAGTGCTTTCTCACAAGGCAGCCGGACTGTTTTTTCCTGGAACAAAACGTTTCGTTTCTCATCCAAGAAACATGAAACTTCACAAAACGTTCTCTTCTTCTTCTTCCTCAAAACACTGTCCAGCTGCCTTTTGAAAAAGCTGTTTTGAGTCCTCCAGTTTGAATGCGCCAGCCGTGAGCCAAGGCCACCTTTCCGGCTTTGCCTGGCACGCTGGCAGCCCCACCCGGCGGCCCCTGGGGGTTTTTTAACTGGGAAAGGGGGGTGGGCTTGCTCCAGCAGCAGAGGAGACCCCTCCCATTCTCTTTCCAGCCAGAGACCGCCCTTAGCGGCCCACCCACCCTGAGGGCCGAGGCCGGTGCCTGCTCTTTTAATCCCTCTGCCCCGGGCAGGTGGGCAGCCAAGGGGGGCTGTTTTCGGCCAGTGTTTGCGTTTCCAGAGGGACCGTGTCCAAGCAGGGCTACAATAGCCCCCCCCCCCGCCTCCATTTCCACTCCAGCCTGTTTATTAATAGCTGCTCCTTTGTTTGGGGAATGAATGGCTGGCAGATGGAGGCTGTGACGGGAATCCCTACAGCTGCCGCTTCTGGAGGGCGAAGATAAGGAGGAGAGGAGGGGGAGGAGGAGGAGGGCAGAAGTGGCCATGCTGGGAAAGACCCTCCCGGGAGGGTTTCCTTGGGGGTCTCCCCTGGCAAAGATTCAAAACTCCTCTGGCTTTCTGACTTTGGACGATGGGCCAGACGGCCCCGTGGGGGAGTTTGGGCTGCGGCAGAGGGAGGGAATGGGTGCCCCTCTCGGCCCCTTTGTGCCCCAGCATCCTCGCATTTCTTGCTCGGGGGACCCAAATTCTCCCGACAGAGGATGAGGGCCACCGGCCTTTGGACAGGGGAGAAGATTTAAAGCGTATCCCTTATTGTGGACAGCCAATCCTCAATTTTCAAACATTTGTTGAGCAACCATTTGAAGTTACAACAGTGCTGAAAAAAGTGACTTACGACTGTTTTCCACACTTAACAACCATTGCGTTGCAGCCTCCCCATGGTCACCTGATCAAAATTTGGATGCTTGGCAACTGGCATGTACGTATGCCTGTTGCAACGTCCCGGGTCACATTTTGTAACCTTCCTAGCTAGTTCTGGCAAGCGAAGTCAGTGGGAAAATCTGGATTCACTTAAGGACTGTGGTTCACTTAACAATTGTGGCCTGAGACATCGTGAAACGGGGGCAAAACTCACTTAACATTGTCTTGCTTAGCAGCAGAAATTTTGGGTTCAATTGTGGTCGTAGGTGGAGGACTGCCTCTGTCTGCTTTTGGGTCCTTTCTTCTTCCTTTTGCCTTTTGTTGATTCAGTTAAAAAGCACAGAAAGTGAACATGGACACAGGTGGGTTTACACAGCCACAAGCCCCTGACAGATTATTTTCAATTTAAGATGGCAAGTCAGATCCAAACTCAATGAATTTAATCTCAATGAATCTCAGGGAATCTGCTTTTTTTCACGGTAAATGCCAAGGAACTCAGCCGCCCTGGCAAGTTAGCACCTTATCCAAGGGCAGGTGGAATGATTGAATAACAGAATCACAGAATAACAGAGATGGAAGAGACCAATACAATTAAAATAACAGAATAATAGAGTTGGAAGGGACCTTGGAGGTCTTCTAGTCCAGCCCCTTGCTCAAGCAGGAGACCCTAGTATACCATTTCAGACAGCTGACTATCCAGTCTCTTCTTAAAAGCCTCCAGTGATGGAGCACCCACAACTTCTGGTGGCAAAGAGTTCCACTGGTTAATTTTTCTCACTGTCAGGAAATTTCTCCTTAGTTCCTTGAGTAGTTTCCATCCATTGTTTCTTAGTTTGCCTTCTATATTCTGGTGCTTTGGAGAATAGGTTGACCCCCTCTTCTTTGTGGTGGCCCCTCAAATACTGGAAGACTGCTATCATGTCATCACTAGTCCTTCTTTCTGTTAAATTAGCCCTACCCAATTCCTGCAACTGTTCCTCATATGTTTTAGCCTCCAGTCCCCTAATTGTCTTCATTGCTCTTCTCTGCATTCTTTTCAACATCTTTTTTATTTCGTGTCAACCAAAATTTAATTATATGGCTGGCTGCCTGCCTGACTGAATGACAGAAGGCAGCTTATATTAAAGATTCACTAAAGACAGGTCAGAAGAATGTAAAATGTATAATGTCTGGCGATGATATGATATTAGAGGGAAACGCGTGAGAATCAGACTTGGCTAGGGCCGATCAGTTATTGGTGAGATCATGAAAAACTCATTCGTTCCTTCCATGTGCCAGCAGGAAGACCCCACACATGGGTGGGGGGGCGGTGTCTCAGCCCATAGAGATGTGGCTGATACAGCTTTTCATATCTGCTTCCAGCAATGTTTCTTAACCAGGGCAAGTTTAAGATGTGGACTTCAATTCCCAGAATTCCCCAGCCAGCTTTGCCAGGCTGAGGGTAATCCATCCAGAGCAGATGCCCCAAATTTGTCTGTTTATTAAAACTTGCACCCCACGACGATCTGAATTCTCTTGGCTGCTTACAGAGAATGCAGCATAATAACAATTTCAAACATCCATGGCACCGTTTAAAACCCATCACTCCATCAAGTCTATCGGATAAGAAAACTACCAACCAGTAAAATAAGTCAAAACTAAAATAATTGCAATGGTTAAAAGGGATAAGAGTTAACTACGTTTAGTCTCTGTCTGGCTGTGCTTTCAAGAGCAGCTTCCTGAAAGGAAGACATTTCGCTTCTCATCCAAGAAGCTGCTTCTGAAGAACTGAAGAAGCTTCTTGGGTGAGAAGCAAAACGTCCTCAAAAGAAAAACCAGAAAGTCCAGTTGCCTACCTTGAAAAAGCACCTTTGGGACAACCGTGTCCTGGATGGCTGAGAATCTCCATAGACCTTTCCCGACAGTGAGGACAATTAACCAGAGGAACGGCTTCCCTCCAGAAGTGGTGGGGGCTCCACCACTGGAGGCTTTGCAGGAGAGACTGGACGACCACTTGTCTGGAATGGCATAAGGTCTTCTGCCTGAGGAGCGGGTTGGACTAGGAGACCTCCAAGGTCCCTTCCAACCTTGTTATCCTATGTTCTAGGATGCTCAACCACAAGGAGATTTATGGACAAAGCATCACCTTGACCTGTCCTGTGACTCTGAATTATCACCCCCCTGCTTACCTCTCTCTCTGACTCATCTAGACTGGGGGGGGGGTATTTTTGTGACTTTCCAGCCAGGTGCACGTGGCCTTCCTGGCAGTGGCCTTGGCAGAGCTGCCTAACCCAAGGACTCCCTTATTCTCAGCTGTGAACCATTGACCGCCTGTCTTGTCAAACGTCCTCTTTGCCCTCCCGGTTGTGCAATTCCTTGGCTCAGGGTTGTCGGTGCCCTTGTCAAGCAGGTGTGTGAAAAAGGGAGCTTGAAGGACCGGCAAAGGCTCCGAGAAGGGCAGCCAAGAACCTCCCCTGCCAGCCTCCCCTACATTGCATCCCAGGGCCCAGGGCGGTGGAACAAGATGACCGTCTTCAGATCTGGCAGGAGAGGCTCCGAGATGCCCCTTGGCTGCTTAATCTGCCTGTGGAAGAGCCGCGGAGGCCTCTCCTGGGCTCTTCATGGGGGGAGGCGAGTCAAATGGTTGAAACCTGATGGAACAAGGGGCTGGCCAAGCAGGAAACGTGTGTGTGTGTGTGTGTGTGTTCCCACGTGCGTGCATGTGCACACGTGCTCATAAACGTCCCTCCCCTCTCCTGCCTTGGATTGCTGCAGACGTTCGTTCCCCTTCACAGGTGGGTCCCTTCTCTGAAGCACGCGTGGAAGACTGGCAGGATGAGGAACCATGAGGGGGAGGGGCTTCTGTGAGTGAAAGCGGAACATTTTCCCAGGCCTTGGGGAGGGGGATGCGGAAGGGTTTGGGTACAGGGAGTCCTTCACTTAGGGGACCCGAATAACGGAAGGGACCTTGGAGGCCACCTGTGCTCAAGCAGAAAGTCCTCTCCCATTCCAGACAAGGAGTTGTTCAGTCTCTTCTTCTTTTTTTTTTATTGAAAGTTTTTCAAATACAGATTTTTCCCCCTTTTCCCCCTCCTCCTCCCTAACCCCCCCTCACCCTCCCCACCCCCCATGGCTTCCCCAAAAGTAAAATCCAAATTGATATCAAATTATATAATACTTTACCATCCTTTTACACCACCCCCCACATGCTAACCATTTCTTTCTAACATTGTTCAGCTATAAAACTATATAATA